CAGTGCTGGCCTTCAGTGTGCACACCCAGTGCTGGCCTTCAGTGTGCTCTCACACTTCTGCTGTTTCAGATGGTATTCCTTCAGTGTCTTATGGACCTTGGTGAAATAGTAGGGATCACAGGAGGAAAAAACCCAAAATCAGAAGTGAGTTTCTTTTAGTTAGTGTAAAATTTGGGTTATTTTGTTTTTAACATACAGAATTGATAAAAATAAAAACAAAGCCTCAGCTCCACAAACTTCTATGGGTTTTCTTGGTTTGAATTTTTGTTTGTTTGTTTGGTTGGTTGGTTGGTTAGTTGTATAGTTTTGTTGGTGATAGTGGTGGTGGTTTTGAGACAGGGTCTCTTTATGTGGCTGTGGCTGGCCTGGAACTCACAGAGATCCACTTGCCTCTCTATGCCTTCCGGTGTGAGCTACCATACCCAGCTCGTGTGGCCTTCTTAGGAATCATTCTGCATACAGTGTGCAGGGTTCCACTGGTATCATCACCATCTACCAATCCTCTGGCTAGGCTGCCTCTTTAGGAACCATCTGCACAGAGAGAAGAGGCATTTGTGTGCTTTTGGTGTCTGCACACATTGGTGTTCGTCACTGTACTTTGCTCGTATTCTCCCCCACATCACCTCTCTTTTCACACCTCCTACTCTTCCCTTCCGCTTGTATGTGTGCTAGGTCCTTCCTCCCAGTTCTAGGTTTTTGTCATATTGCCCCCTCCCCTCACTGGCTACTATAATACAGCCTGTAGATAGTACTGTACTCAGCTGTGTATAGTAATTCATTACTGTATACAGCTACTATAATACAGCCTGTAGATACTACTATACTCAGCTATGTATCGTAATTCATTACTGTATACAGCTACAGCTCCAGTCCCAGGCTGTGTGTTTTCTTTTGATGATGAGACAAGGTCTGTCTGTGTAGCCCAGCCTGAGCTGGAACTAGCAATACTCATGCCTCAGTTCTTGAGTACTTGGATTATAGACATTCACCTATTGTGGAATATTAGTTTAAGATGTGTTACACTCATTTATGCTGTGGAATATTTGTTTAATGTTGCAAAGATGTGCTGCATTCTTATATGTTGCATTTGCTTAATTTTGTAAAGCTGTGTTACTTCTCCTGTCTGAAACACCTGATTGGTCTGATGAAGAGCTGAATGGCCAATAGCTAGGCAGGAGAGAGAAGAGAAGTCAAAATAGATGGGGCTGATAGGCAGAGAGAATAAATAGAAGAGAGAAGAAGAAGGAGCAAGAAAAAGAGGAGGGGAGGATGCCAGGGGCCAGTCACACAGCCAGCCATAGAGTAAGAAGAAAAGGAAGGTATATAGAATAGAGAAAGGTAAAATCCCAGAGGCACAAGGTAGATGGGATAATTTAAGAAAATTTAGCTAGAAATAAGCCAAGTTAAGGCCAGACATTCATAAGTAAGAATAAGTCTGTGTATTTATTTATTTGAGAGCTGGGTGGTGGGTTCCCTAAGAGTAAAGAGCTAAAAAAAAAAAAAATTACATGTGCCATCACACCTGACTCCGTTTTATTTTTGATCAAACATACAATTAAGTTAAATTTTCTTCTTTGCTATTCTGAGTATGCCCATGACTTTGAGCCAGCCCACTAGGTCCAGCTTGCAAGTTATTGCAGGAACTTTTCATAGCCAGACCGTCTAAGTTTTCAGTTACCTTTATGCTACCCAGTCATCTTTAAAAAAAAAAAAAAAAAAAAGCTGTCTTTTATTCTCTCGTTTTCATTGCTTTCAGATAAATTTTGATTAGCGGTCTCTCCACCACAAGATGGTGCCCCAGAGTAGTTGAAGCTATGTTTTTTCTCTTCTTCCTTATTAATTTCTTCCGTAGTGAACTTGGGCTGTTTATCTGAGTCAGGGCATGTCTGTGAAAACCCGGTTGTTTTTTTTTTTTTAAACCAGGTTACCTAGCTGCATGGGAATCAAGCGGTGTGGGCTTCTGCTGTAGGTTGTGGTGCTGAGGACCCACGCACGGCCACCACAAAGCCGTGCGTCAGGATTGAGCCAGGCTCGGGCTGGCTGGCCTGGAATGTGAGAACCTCCTGCCTCGGTGTCTGATGTACTGGGGATTATAGGTATGCGGCACCATTCTTGGCTTCAACATGTGCTTTAGCTTTTTAAACATATTTTTGTAGCAACTTTATGGTAGTTCTTATGCAAGTTTTTAAAGTAATTGTCATTCCTATTTATGGGTCCAACTTCCACTTTGAATCTATGTTTACAGAAAATAATCTGTAATTTAAGTATAGTTTTAAAGAAATGGAGGACCCCAGAGATGCCGCCTGCACCTAATAACCTGAGTTCAGTCCTCACGTGGTGGAAAAGAGAATCACCTCTTGCACGTTGTCCTCTCTCTCTCTCTCTCTCTCTCACACACACACACACACACACAGAGAGAGAACACGTGTTAAAAGGTTACATAAATAGAGCCCAGCATGATGATGCATGCCTGTGATTACAACTACCTGGGAGGCTGAGTCTGGAAAACAGTGAGTTCAGATTCAATCTGGATAACTTATCAAGATCCCATCTCAGAATAAATGAATAGAATAAACATCCGAGGCCTGGTGTAAAGCCTACAATCCCAGCACTCTTATTCTTACTTACAACTCAGGTTGGGAGTGCCAGGTCAGCAAGGGTTTCATAACAAGACTCTGTGTCCAAAACACCATGTGCGTTCACACACATATGAATATGCATATACATGCATCAGACACACACACACGGAATAAGTATATTCTGAAAGAAAGGCACTTTTACCGTCTTTTGAGATATTTGAATTCCTGAATCATGTGGTTTTGTTTATGCTTATCCCTACTGTTACTGTTCGTTTTGTGATATCACAACAGGTCTTTCCGTATAGCCCAAGCTGGCCTGAAGCTTACATGGGCCATTCTGGACTCAAACTGCCTTGGTCTGCTGAGTGCTGGGGCTACCGGCATGGGCTGACATGCCTGGTTCCCAATGTGGAGTGCATTCTTCAGCTAATCAAAACATGTTTACTAACCATCAAATATGTATACAGTCAGAGCTGATATCTTCCTAGGCTTGATAGGCAAGTAAGACAAACATTGTTAATGTTTCACTAGAAACAATGTGTCTTTAATTTTTTGTACACTATGATAATCCCCGTACGCTTTCCACATGGGGAAGCTAAGAAATAACTATTGTGTGAGCACAGAAGTCGCTGCCCTAGTTTTGAAGCAAAAAAATTGTACTTTAAAGAATTATTATTATTACTACTACTCTTGGGGGATTTGCCACAGCGGACATGTGGAAATCAGAAGACAGCTTTGTGGGATTGGTCCTCTCCCTCCACCCTTGTGCGGGATCCGGGATTGAGCGCCAGACTTGGTGGTGAGCACGTTACCCTCTGAGTCATCCTGGTGGCCCGCAGAAGGCTACATTTTACCAATTAAAATCTTTCAGTTAGGAACTCCACTCCGGTTCTGGCTTTCTTCATTTCTTGTTTGTTAACTCAGTCAGTGGACAAGTGTCCATTTGTTTTCATTCTAGAACTGGGAGTTAGGGGGCAGTGAAACCAACTACTTTAAAATCACATTACAATAGAGTGGGGTGAGCAGAAGCGCAGGGTAAGCATCAGATACACAGTATAGACAATAATGGAACTGCTTCTGTCCAGGGAGCTTTGGTGCTGTGTAGAAACAGTGCCCCAAACACCCTTGCTGGTCTTCTTATGTTTGGGAGTTTTGTTTTAGACAGGATCTTGCTATGTAGCTCAAGTTGACCTCACACTGGTGATCGTCCTGTCTCAGACTCTAGAGTATTGGGATTATAGGCAGGTGCTACCATACTCAGCTAAACACTACCTCAGTGACCCAAGTTCAATCCCCAGAACCCACATAATAGTAGGGGAGGACCAACCCCACAAAGTTGAACTCTGACCTCCGCATGTGTACTGTGGCAAATCCCCCCCACACCTAATAATAATAAGAATTCTTTTTAAAATTGTTAAAAATAATTCTGGGCAGTGGTGGTGCATGTCTTTAATCCCAGCACTCAGGAGTCAGAGGCTGGCAAATCTCTGAGTTCAAGGCCAGCCTGGTCTACAGAGTGGGTTATATAGACAGAGACTGCTTGTTTGTTTTCCAGCTGCCCAGAAATAATCACACTGAAACTATATTAATTGCAACACTGCTTGGCCTATTTGCTTAGGCTTCTTATTAACTAACTCTTACATTTTAAATTAACCCATTCCTATATTTTGTATTTTACCAAGAAGCTCCTGGTTCATCTACAGTAAGGTTCCAGGCCACTACATGGCATTTCCCTGACTCCACCTTCTTTTCTCCTCTATCTCTGCTTGGAATTCCCGCCTTGCTCTATTTTACTTTGCAATAGGCCCAAAGCAGATTCTTTATTAACCAATGGTAATAAGACATATTCACAGCATACAGAAGAGAATCCCACATCGTATGACTTTTTTTTTTTCTTGCTTGCTTGCTTCAAAATTGAGTTAGTGACTTCTGAATCCCATCACTGTCTCAGGGAGCTATAGAGGATTCAGTTTAAAAACAACTTCATTAGTCTGCTTTTAGAAACCCATACCTGGAACCAGTGTAGCCTGACCCGGGCAGGGGTTAAGCATCCATTTATAAGTTGGCCACGGTGGTGTGTGCCTATAATTCCAGAACTCAGTAAGTGGAGGTGTGGGGGTCATGTTCAAGGTCATCCTTGACTTCATAGCTGGAAGCCAGCCCGTGCTAGTTGAGAGCTCTTGTTAACCACACACCAAGAAAGAAGGCATTAATTTATACTTTTCCTCAGGCTTTGAAAGATGGAAAATTATTAAGAGCTATTCTCTTCCTGCTCAGACTGAGACTCTCCTGAAGGAACCAGCTAGAAGAATCTGGCCAGTTGTTTGATCTTATTTGTTTGGCTCTGTTTTCCAGCTCCTGAGCGTAGTTTCTCAGCTAGCCCAGCAGAATCTGCAGTTGCTGGTCCTGGGCCGGAAGCACATGCTAACCGCGAGTTCCAGGTGGAGAAAGGATGAGATGGAGCGGGTGCGAAAGCAGGCCCACTGCTTTTTTGCTGATAACATGTAAGTATTGGAGGGAGCAGGACAATCAGACTAGGTTCCAGTCATGTACTTACCAGTTATCTGTTCTGTCGTGAAGAATGCTTGCCTGTGTGTAGGCAACCTCATTTAAAACAAAAACAAAAATAAAAATAGGTTGGAGGTAGCTTACAGAATATAGTGTCTACAGTAGAACAAACTTTTATAGATGAGGAAATCAGCATAAACGGCAAAATGAGTAAAGTCAGTCAGGAGTGAGGCTAGCACTTGGAATACACACCACAAAATCCTAAATTGGTCATCAAACAGACCCTTGGCAGATATGAACATGGTGTTTGATCTTAGTGATGTGTCACCTGCCCTTTCAGTCCTTACAGAAACAAGCCACCCACCAGTAGCCCTATTGTAGCCAGGGGTCAGCGCTGTGGGAAGCAGGAGTGGTGGGAAGGGCTCCCCACCTCACAGTGCTTCTCCCTCAGACAGGGACAGCAGAGATCCAAAGGTCCTGGCACAGGAAAAGGCTGGACACTGGCAAAGTAAGACGGCCAGCGTGGACAGGTTAGAGCAGCACCCGGAAAGTCAGCTTTGGGGACTGTGGATGCAGTTCAGTTGGTAGAAAACCTGCCTGGCATGCAGGAAGCTCTGCGTTCCGTCCCCAGCCTCACATGAAACCAGTTGTGGTGGTGCAGCCTGTGACCTCAGCCCTCTGAGGAAGATCGGGAGTTCAAGGTCATCCTCTGCTGTACAGAGGCCATCCTGGGATACAGGAGACCCTGTCTAGAAAGGGAGGGGAGGCGTGGGGAAAGGGAAGGGAACAGAAGTTTTGAAGTCAGAGAGAAGAAAAGACCGTTTTATAGAGGGCCTCACAAAGGGCCTGGATTTATTTAGTAGAGAGAAAATTGCTGTTGAGCCACAGCTTCCCCAGACACCAAATGAACATGAAAAACGCGATAGCAACACAACGTGAAGTTCATAAGCAGAAAGCAGCCGTGCGGGAAGATGGGAGATCCTGGGCCGCGCGGCCAAACTCTCTGTGTGCTCACAGGTTTTCCTACTGCTGATGGTGGCACACGTCTGTCCGCAGCCTTACCAGGCTGTCACCTCGCCGTGCGTGTGCCTCAGCCCTGAGTCTAGGGCTCATTAGTTCAGAAGTGAGAAATTCAGGGTTTGTCAGGGTCCCACAAAGAATTTATTCTTAGACGGGTAAAATGGCTGCTGAGGCCAGCTCCTCACTCCAGTCCCGAACCAAAGCCGAGAGGAGGAATTTCTGTTGCTTCAGAAGCAACAGACTTGGCCCTCTTGATGTCGCCCCTGCAGCGTTGGTAAGCTTTCGGAGTGTGGGCTTGTTTCAGATCACAGACCTGCCGTTCCCACCTGGGAAGGTGTTTACTTCATACATAATCTTCACGGGGCTGCTGTGAAGGGTAATGAGCTAATGGTTGTCACACGTCAGATCTGGCACCACGTTCACGGAAAGCCTGCATGTTCATCACTGTCATCATTGTTATTTTTCTTATAGAAAGAAACTGGATAAGTCACGTGCTATACCCCAAAAGTCTCTTGGGAATTGGTCTTGCTGCCTCCTTTGGGGCCTGTACATCTGTACTTAATGCATCTGCTGAAGTTCTAAGCTCTGTTGTAAAGATTGATTCACTAGTGTCCCGTGTCTCTGGATTTAAATCTCTATACTTTCATTGTTAACTCATTATTGTACCAAGCAAACCTTCTCAAGCACAAAGCAGAGAGCAGTGTAGTGAGTCCTCGTAACCCCACATAAGCGTGACCCTGCTCTAACGTACTTGTCTTCTTCCATATAAACTCCAGTGGTTTGGGGGTTTTGTTTTTTAAGAAGGTGACAACTCTGTAGCCCAGGCTGGCCTGAAAGTTTGTAAGTCCCGGGCATTAGCAGTCCCTGCCCCTCAGCATTCCATTGTGTTTTAGAGAGTGTAAGCAGCTAAGGACTCCAGGCACTTTATGAGGGTCTCTCTGAGCACTTCTGTCGAGAAATCATTCACCCTGTCTAGACGGTCAGAATATAAGTAAATGGGTGGTGGAAACCCTCTGCCCCTGGAGCGTCTGATTCTGTCCGTCCTTCTGTCTGCTGCAGCTCGGAGGATGACCCGTTCCTGCTGTACGCCGCCCTGAACTCAGGCAATCACTGCAAGTTTATCACGAAAGACCTGATGCGGGACCACAAGGCCTGCCTGTCTGATGTGCACACCCAGCACCTCTTCTTCAAGTGGCAGCAGGGACATCAGATGGCAATCAAGAATGATTTGCAAAGATCAAAGCTAACTTTCCAGGTATGGGATCTGCTCTCTAAGTGAGGCTGACAGTCTCGTCTAACTGTCACAGTTTTTAAAATGTTGAAAGTTATAAATACTTTGTTTTGGTTTTGGTTTGGTGGGTGGTAGTTAGCCACTCCCTAGAAAGAGTATCTGTCAGGGCGAAAGTATTCACAGACCAACCCCAAATTGATTGGCATCGGATAAAACATCTGGAGTACCGTGATTGGGCCTGAAACTGTACCTTCACCTATACTTAGACACTTGTGTGTTTCCGTTGTCCTGTTTATGTGGAATGACTTGAAGCTTCTTATCCTTTCAAACTTTCCTTTTAAACATCTTTTCCTATTTTTTAATTTAAATTATGTTTGTGTTTTTAATTGTGTGTGTGTGTATGTGTGTGTGTGCACGTACATGCATGTGTGTGTGTGCAAAATAAATACCATATTTTAGAAGTACACAGCTGAAGTTCACTTCAAGATAATCTTGAGAGAGAGCTACTCTCTACTCTTTCTCTACTCTTTTATTTAATTTTTCTCTTTTTTACTTATAAAACCAATAAACACAATGAAGCAAGCCTATAACTTAAAATATGACACTCATATAGAGTGCCCTTACCCTTAAAATGAAACCCCCCTTTTCACATTATTTAGTTTACTGTTGTTGGGACTGGAGAGGTTGCTCAGTGGTTGGTGCTTGCTGAGTTCCCATCCCCGCACCCACATTACAAACCAAGTGTGTTCTTGCACATGGCGATAGCCTAGTAGTGTATGAATAGAGATGGGAAGCGTGCTTGGGCTTGCTAGCTGCTGACCTAGAAAAACACAGACAAACAGCCAGGCAGGGACCCTGCCTCAAAGGGATAATATGGGAAGTGGTAGAAGAAGCTTCTGGCTTCTCTGCAAGCACAGATATGTGCATTGGTACATACATGTGCATTCACCACACACACACAGATACACAAAGGAAGGAAGGAAATCCAGAGTTAAATAAAGCACAGTATTGCTCCAAAGAAGCTGAGAAGACTGAGGGGTGTCGGTCCCCTTCACGGTTGTTCTCACCCTTTGGCTTTCATTCGCCAGCATACGCTCAGCTACGACACGGTGGTGCAGACAACTGGAGACTCCTGGCACATACCTTATGATGAAGACCTGGTGCAAAGATCCTCCTACGAAGTGCCGACCAAATGGCTTTGCCTCCAGCGAAAAACACAGGGGCCGGCCCCATCCTGAATTTGCCCTGGACACCTCCTGCCTAATAGCAGAGCTCAAATCCATGCTAATTTCAGGCATGACCTCTGTCCCGAAAATAAAAAGATTTTAGAAGCACTGTTTGGTTTAGTTGGTTTGCAGCAACAAATTGACTTTCAGCTTTGTTTGGTTTGGTTTATGGTCCGGTTCTTGTTTTGTAACCCGTTCTGCCTCCGTCCTCCCACTCTACGTCCCTGAGTGCTGAGATTATGGGAGTGGGCCCCTATGCCTGCTCTGCGCAGTACAGGAGGTGGGACATGGGCCTTCACATATTCCGGGCAAGCACTCTGCCAGCTGGGCTACAAACTGACTTTTGAGATAAATGAAAAAAAATCACATCTTTTCTTAGCTAGCTGTACCACCACCACCACTTTTGTTTCTAGAGGTTTCTCCAGAACCGTGAGTCCTATAGTAGAGTCTTGGTGCTTGTTCCTCCTGCCAGGCCGCTCTCCGTGTAGCTGGGGGAGGGGCTGCTCTCTGTGTAGCTGGGGGAGAGGCTGCTCTCCGTAGCCATTCCTGCTGGCTTGACCTTCCAGGCTCCCCATTGGTCCCTCTTTATTTTATACTGTAATTACAACCCTTTCCAGGTTGATCATGGTATTGGGGTGATACAGTATTCCAAGATGACATTCCAAAGTAGTCCAGAACTTATTTGACAAAGCCTTAGAAATAAAAACTAATAAATAATAGGATTTTTGAGCTGGCGAGACAGCTGAGTGGATAAAGGCGCATACTACCAAGTCTGATGACCCGAGTTTGATCCCGAAGAACCCACAGGGCGGAAGGAGAAACTAAACACATAAGTTGTCTTTAGACCTCTACAAAAGTGCCCGACACACATATTATAAATGAAATGTAAAATTAAATAATTTTTAAAATGAATATTGAAATGATTATAAATGGAGAGCCCCGGACAGTGCTGAGGATCTTGTTGTCTAGATCCCTGAACTGTTCAGTCTCCAAGCTGTGCTCTGAGTTCTATTTTTTTACATTTAATTTTGAGACAAGGTCTCAGTGAGTTAACCAGGCTGTCCATGAATGTACCATAGCCCAGGCAGGTCTGGAACTTAGGATGCTTTCTGCTTTAGACTCCCAAGTATCTGAAGGCCTATGACATCGTATATGGCTTATTTTTAAAGAAATTATTATGGTTATAAGAAAAAAATTCCCATTTTTTTCAAGACAGTGTTTCTCTATGTAACAGCTCTGACTGTCCTGGAACTAACTCTGAAGACCAGGCTGGCTTTGAACTCAGAGATCAGCCTGCCTCCGCCTCTCAAGTACTGGGACTACAGGTGTGCACCACCGTACCTGTGTAAAGGGTTTTTGGTGGTGGTTGCGGGAGTTGTGGGCCTTGCATTCTATCACTCTCTGACCACGAACTTGCAGCCATCCATCTGCCTGAACTCCAATTGCAGGCATGAGCCTCCATGCTTTCTTAGATTGAATTATTAAAGTCACCATGACAGGGGCTGGGGAAATGGCTCAGTGGTAAAGTGCTATCCAAGGATGATCCCAGCACTCACATGGAAAAGCCAAGCTTAGGGGCATATGTTTATAATGCTAGCGGGGGTGGGGGGACAAGACAGGCTGAGTGCTCACCCCAGCTACCCACTCAGGTAAGCTTTAAGCCATCAGAAGAGCCTGTCTGAAAAATCAAGGCAGGAACAGCACTGGGGTTGCCTCCTGACCCACACACGTGCACACAAGGCGTAACTGAGCATTTGTGTCAAATAGTAACATCCGAGGGCAAGGAAAGGTCTTAAACGGGAATGAGCACGCCAGTCATCTCTTTGGCACTACTTAAAATCTAATCCGAGAAGCAGCTGCCTGGGAGCCACTGGTAGCAACTTTAATCTCCAATAATTAGATAACTTCAAGGTCAGGTCAGACAGACTGATCACTCTTACCTGAGCGGAACATTACTAGGGTTCAAGTTCAGCTCCCATCTAAATATTCAGCCATTATGAAAGAAGGCCTCTGGGTTGTCTGTGACTGCGTAAGAATAGAATGCCTGTGTCCACTAGGTGCTGTTGGAATCCCTGACAGTTCTGTCCATTTGGCTTTCCTGGGGCAGAGAGGAGCCCTGGCCTGGGGGATGGGACAGAACAATCTATCCCCAGGAAGCAGCTTCTTTTGGTGGTGGATATGGCCAGTCTCCAAAAAAGTGAGTTCTTTGTGGCACTTGTTGCTTAAAATCTGTGTAAGTGGACCTTTGCAAATAAATAAGCCCTTCTTGGGTTGCCTTCTTCTTTAGGGACTGTGCCCTAGAATTCAGGGTTCCCTTTCTTTTTGAGACAGGGTCTCATTCTGTAGTCCCAAACTCTCTATGTGCACCAAGCTAGCGTACGTGTTTGCCCAGTTTTATGTACATATATGCCCTTTTTCCTTGTTTGGCAGTCCTTTGGGATGATTCCTTCATACACATTATCATATTACTTATAACAATGTAAATTCATAGAAAGAGTCAGCTGGGAGTCAGATGTGGCTGTTCCTCTGCCCCCGCTCTTGGAGCTGGTCTGGGAAGAAGACTTAGGAATTCAGGATCATCTTTAGCTACTGAGCTAGTTCGAGGCCAGCCTGAGCTATCTGAGACCCTGTTTCAAAACTAACAAACAAATAAGTCTTTAACTGACTTAAGCTAGGACATTCTGTATAGTGCAATGCGCTTCTTCTGTGGTTACATTGTCGAGCTCCTGCTCAGGGCTTGGTGTTCAGGAGGAACTGTTGCCAGAGCTGTCTCTGGTAAAAGGCCGCGTCCTTTGGCGCTTGTTCTAGCAGGAGTGGTCACATCCTTGAGGCAGGTCCTTTCCATGTCAGGCCCTCTGACCTCCAGCTCCTGGAGAAAACTCTGGCCGGGCGTGTTTGTGAAGAACATAAAGAGCCTTTTGTTTTTCAGAGCAAATCATGTGGTTTTTGTTGCTGTTAATCCAGGCACAAAGGGAAGTTTATGTGAGAAAATCATTATTGAACATTTTGTGCTTTGCAAATGTCAATAGAATATTTTTTTTTTCCATTTCCAGAATCACCAGAGTCTTAACCTCTCACACTGGTGATTTTTGATTTTTGGCCCTCTCTATAATGGCCCCTCTCTTTTTCTCGTCTGTCTTTGGCTTTTTTTTTTTTTTTTTTTTTGCAGCGTTCCATTGTGTTACAGCTCTTGGGGGCAAGACATCCTGGCAGTTAGGAGCCAAGAAATACCTCAGAGTCACACTGTACAACAAACCTCACACAAGGGATGTGGGGTGGGGGGGGATGAACTGAGGATGGCTACCTCTGCTCAGTCGTGCAGCAGCAGAGAACTGAGCAGAAGATAGGGTTTGTATAGGGTTTTGAGGGGAAAGGTTCCCAGGGTGCAGATTAGTGGGATTTCAAGTCCAAAGCTTGTGCTTTTTACTGTGTCGATTGAGGGCTGAGTCCTGCTATTACGGCAGTTAGAGTGTTTTGTAGGTAGAACCTGGCAGTTGGAGGTACTTAGGGGAGAGGCCTGGCTACTCTTATGTCTTGAGGGGCTTACACTCGTACCTCAGGCTTGTCTCAAACCACTCTGTTGGTCAAAACTGGCCTTGAACTCATGATCTCTCTGTCTCTACCTCCCAGATGGTGGGATAATAAGTGTGTGTGTGTGTGTGTGTGTGTGTGTGTGTGAGAGAGAGAGAGAGAGAGAGAGAGAGAGACCAGAGGAGAGCTTTGGATCCTTTGGAGCCGAAGTTATACATAGTTGTAAGCAGCCCAGCATGGGTGCTGAGAACTTGCATCTTAGATCTTCTGGAAGACTAACAAATGTTCATAACTACCAAGCCACCTCTCCAGCTCCCATTTCTTTTTTTGTTTGTTCACTTCAAACAACCCTAGTTTCGGGATCTCAAACTTTCCTGTAAGTGTTGCAGTTCTGGAGGGAAAGGCTTCCCCAAGAGAAATGTAACAGTTCTGTCTGGCAGGGAACAGTTTCCCCAATGCAAGTGTTACAACTCTGAGGAGAAAGGTATCCTAGCAGTCGGGAGCCAAGGAAAACCACAAAGTCACACTGCACAACAAACCTCACACAAGAGGTTGACTGGGAAGGAAAACTGCCTGACGGTGGCTGTCTCTGCTCAGCCAAGGAACGTCAGAGAACTGAGCAGAATGCAGGTTTATATAGGACTTCTTGGGGGGTGGAGTTTTCCAGGATGGCCTGGGATTGGTGAGATTTTGTGGCCTGACCCTGGGGCAAGCTCAGGGATTGGTAGAATTCTGTCTCTGATCTTGGACTTGGGGTCCAGTCAGGGTCTGAGTGTTCTTTCCTTGGCGCCTTTACCCTACACAGCACATATGGAAGACAGTCTAACTTTTGGGAGGAGATGGTCTCAGCGACTGAGTGCAGGTCATCAGTCTTGGTAGCAAGCACCTTTACCTCCTGAGCCATCTCACCAGGATTTAAAAGATTTCTATTTTACATTTATTTTGTGTGTGTGTGTGTGTGTGTGTGTGTGTGTGTGTGCTGCACACATGTGGAGGTCAGAGGATGACTTTCAGGAGTTAGTTCTGTCCTTCCATCATGTGGGTCCAGGAATTGGACGCGGGCGGTCAGGCTTGACATCCGGCACCTTTACGGACTGAACCATTTCAAACTTTTAAGTTCACCCCTGGAACCACAGTCTCGTTACCTGTTTTACTCCCTCACCACAACTGCCAGCTCTTGACCAGTTTTCTTAAGGTTTATTTTATTTGTATATGATTTTCCGTCTGTGTGAGTGTCTACTGAGTGTGTGGGTGCTCTCAGAAGATCACTGGAGCTGGACTTACAGGCTGTTGTGAGAAGCCAGCATGGGTGCTGGGAACTAAGCTGCTCCCTGGGAGAACAGCGAATGCCCTTAACTGCCGAACCATCTCCTGACTTTGACCAAATCTCCAGCCTAGTCTCTCTAACCTTGTGAATCTCTTCTGCCTACCCACTTCTGGGGTCACCTGATCTCCCCACCCTTCTCAAAGCAGTTGTGGATGGCTTCAATCCCAGAAGGGTCTTTCATTCACTTCACCTGTAGAGTGTCTTTTCATTCCAGGCCTAATTTCCAGTAGCCAGATTTCACTTCCTTCACT